CTCCAGGTAAGGATACTGGAGTGGGTTGCCATGCCCTCCTCCAGGGGATCCTCTCGACCCACAACTCTGCTGTCTCCTGTATCCTTTACCAATAGAGCCACCGGGGAAGCCCTTTTCTCTCTATACATACATAGATACAAAATAGCCTCTCATGTGTATATATATCATGTATCATATAGAATGAGAGTTTACTACCTCCACCAGTGTTTTTCAAAGTGTGGTCCAAGGATCCCCTGTATTGTCTGGATACCTCATCAAACATGAAAATCCCTCCTAGACCTCCAGGATTAGGCTCTCTGGGTGTGGCCCCCAGCTGGCTATTTTATGTCAGCTTTCCAGGTAATTCTGAAGGACCTGGAGGCCTGGGACCCCAGTGGCCCCTGGATGTGGTCATGAGGGTGGCCTGAGGGCAGGTGGGAAGAGACTCCTCACCGAGGGCCCAGGAACGCATCCAAGGAGAGCAGGAGGAACAAGGACGGGCTGTTCTGTGGACGGGAGGTGGCTGGCGTCCCTTCCTGGAGGCTGGTGTGTGTTGTGGGCCCAGAGGCTTGGGGTCATGAGGACCCAGCCCTGCCCCCGCTGCAGCTGCCTGCGGGAGGAGCCAGGAGCACAAAGGCTGTTTGACGTGGCCTCTTAACGTTTCGGCAGCTGCTCCGTGCCAGGTTGCTCCAGGAATTCCAGGGCCCAGGAAAGAGGTCGGGGCTGACATCCCAGGAGCAGCTGGCGGGATGGCCACATGCCCATCTGGAAGGTTCGAGGACTCAGGGAACACTTATGTAACTGGCCGAGAGGGGAAGTTGGATGTAAGTTAGCTCAGGGGCTGAGGACAGCCCACAGAGTGGGCTGAGGATCTGGGCAGCCCCTTCAGTCCAGTCCCTGCCAGAAGGACCCTCTCTTATCCCGCAGGCCGCCCACAGCCCCCACGGGCTCCATGCTGTCAGGGAAGGAAGGACAGAGGGGTGTGTGTGACCTCCCCTTTTGCCCTGTCACTCACAGCTTGGCAGAGGGCTGCACAGAGTAGGCGCTCACAAGAGTTTGCTGAGTGAACGCATGCACACATGGACAGTTTCTGCTGGGGGGGGGGCGGCTCGGGGTTTCTCGGAGGGGGTGTCTCTGACCAACAGCTCAGCATCCCGAGATATTAGTAGAGATGCAGGTTCCTGGGCACCACCCGGATCTCTTAAGTCAGAAACTCGGTGGGCGGGTGACAAGCTGTGTAATCTTCAGGGGTCCTGCTGCTCCCAGGTGTGAGAACTACCGTGCAGTGTGGTGATGGTCATCCTGGCTGAGTGCTAGATCACCCTCGGAGCTCACAACACAAAACCAAGGCTAAGTTCTCTGCACACTGGCTGAGCAGAGTCCCTGGAGGGGCCAGGCACGAGCTGTGTCCAGTGATCCTCTGGGGCAGCCAGGCTGTGACCCACACGGAGCCTGCGAAGTGACACGGATTCAAATTTGGATTCAAATCCTGGCCCTGCCTCTTGACAGCTAAGAGACTTTGGGCAACCAAGTAAAAGGCCCCTGCCTCAATTTCTTCATGACAAAACAGGGGACAGTAAGTAACAGGACCTTTCTGATAGGTGTCATGGAGGTGAATGTGTCTGTTTGTCTTGTGTTTCTAACAGCATTTGGTACACAGTAAGTGGTAGTGACAGTACTAGCATTCCTACTATTATTATTGCTGCTATTATTACTACCATGATTATGATCACTACTGTTACTACTGCTACTATTACTTCCTACCATCACTATTATTATCATAACTACCATTATCACTGCTATTGATCCCTGGGTCAGGAAGATCACCTGGAGGACTAAATGGTAACCCATGCCAGTATTCTTGCCTAGAGAATCCCTCGGACAGAGGAGCCTGGTGGGCTACAGTTCATGGGGTCACAAAGAGTCAGAGACACGGAAGCAACTCAGCATGTGTTGTTACTGTTACTATTAATACTATTGTCATTGTTGTGATAACCACTGTGTTACCATCATTACTAATATTTTTATCATTGCTAGTATTAATGGTAGTACCATAACTATTATTGATACATTGCTACTATAATTTCTATTCTGACTACGGTTAGTATTATTACTATTAGTATTTCTGCTACTATGACTATTATTGCTCTGCTACTATTCTGTCAAGGCAGAAGCAGTCTGTCTTCCAAACTTCTTCCAGGAGAGACAATCGCCTCTCTCGCAGGCTGAGGTTTGGACTTTGGGACAGGAGCCTGACTAAACCCGACACTCTGCAGAACCAAGGGATCAGGGCCCCCCTGGTCTCCAGTGCTACAGCGTGCAGCTGCGCCTGGCGGGGAGGGGAACCCGGTGGAAATCAATGGCTGGAGGATGCAGAGGCCTGGGGCGCAGCCTCCTCCCTCCACATCTGCATTTGGGGGTTAATCTCCCTGGAATGGGGCCACAATCTTCCCCAGACAGTTAGGGGCCCCCCTGCGCCAGACTCAATCCTTCAGGCTCACATTTTAAAACATTTCTTATGTACACCCATGGCAGATTCAAGTCAATGTATGGCAAAACCAATACAATGTTGTAAAGTAAAATAAATAAATTAATTAATTAAAAAAAAATAAAAATGAGATGACCTGACAAAAAAAAATAAAAATCAAACGTTTCAACCTTTTGTCCTTCCCGAGCAAACAGACTGGATTTACAGGGAAGGCTGCTTCCAAGGGGCTCTTCCCGACCCAAATCCTATCTTCCTGGGGCCAGACGTGAAACAAAACAGAGCACCTCTCCGGCCCTTTGAAGCCAGGGAAGGGAACGCCTCATTTTTTTTTGAAAGGCCCAAGTACTGCGGGAAGATGTCGAGCACGTGCAGCTGTGATTTGCTTTGCAAGTTTTCTTCGGGAGAAAAGGAAAAAACATGACATTGAACTTACAAAAGAAAATGACAGTGAACTTCTAAAATTCGTAATATCACACACCTGGATTTAACAAATGGAGCAAAAACTTCTTTCAGAGGTGATGAGGGCTGAGCCTGGCTGGCAGATTCTGATGGAAACGGGAGAGGTTAAGCTATGGAGTGCCAGCTATGGGAACTTTCCTGCTCTGACCAGCCAGGCTTATTCTCTGGGAAAAAATGAAACACTACCTCCATCAGAGGCTGGACTGTCCTGGAACTGATGAAATACACATCACTTTTCATGTGTGGTTTTCCCTATTTATTGTATTAGTACATGGTCATTAACAATTATTTGGGAAATAGAGAAAAGCAGAAAGACGAGAATCCTGTGTGCAGAGAGAAACTCTGTTAAATCTTTGCTGAATTTCCTTTCAGTCTTTTTTTCCGTACATTTTAAAACAAGGACAATGTTGTACTGTAAGCTATGTTTTGTACTTTTTAAGTTTATGATGACAAAGATTTTTATTTCCCCCTCTCACATGAGTTACCTGGATGAGCAGCCACCATCTGGCCCAACTTCTCTGAACCAGACACCTGGAGGCAACTGTGACTCTGACTTCTCCCTCTGCCCAAAACCTGTGAAGCCCTGAGTCCTGTCAGGGTAGTCCGTTCAGTATGTCTCAACCCATCCGCCTTTCTCCATCCCCTCGGCCCAGAGAGTGGCACGCACTTTAGAAATGTTTGGCTGAGGCCTCTCAACAGAGGTGGGCGACAGCCTCCTCCCTGGCTCCCGCCCTGAACTCCAACAAGCCATTCTCCACACTGTCAGCAGAATAAACTTTCAACATGCAAATCTGATCACCATCACCTCCTGATTAAAACCGCAACTGCTGTAGCCAATTGCTCTTAGCTTAAACACCTGACTCCTTCTCCAGGAAGCCTCCCTGACGGCACACATGAGCACACTCCCGCTTCATAGCACCACATACCTCCCCCACTGACTGCCATTCTCACGGGTGTCAGCGGGCCCACCATCCGGCCTCCCTGAATCACCGCGCCTTGGGAAGCTCTCTATCACCAGTGCTCAGCCAAGAGCAAGCACTCTGAGAACACATTTGCGTTCGATGAATGAAAGCAATCCATAAACAAAGTACTGGAGCAGCCTTATCATTCACATTGTGTTTTAGGGTATGTGATCACCCAGTGCAGCACATCTCTATACGGCCACAAAATTTTGGCATGGCCATCTTAAATGCTGAGGATGGCATGACCACTCCAATGTCATTATTCAGGGGAGAGATCTGATTCTCAGTCTACAGAATTTCTAGGCAAATAGCCCAGCAAAAATAACTCAGTCTGTCTCAGGGACTGGGGACCAGTCCCTGAAAATCCTGTTAGTTATCTGCATCCTTGCCTCCTGGGCATGGAAGGAGGGATGTCCCCTCTCCTGGAGTCAGGAGATGCAGCGGTGTCGTGACCATGCTAATCACTGAGGACCATTATCAGTGACGGAGCCGCCTGGGGCCATTTTGAAAGGCAGCTGCCCAGGTGAGCTGAGGCCACAGATCCAGCCTAAACACAGAAGCTGCTAGAATCTTTCCAGGAGCCAGCCTCTTAAATCCCTCTCCCCAACTGTACTTTGGGGTTAGGTCCCTGAAGCCCCTGCAGCAGAGACACACACAGAGGCCACTGTGGGGTCAATGTGGAGTCTGAGACCCATCCCTGCTGACACCTTAGGAGTTTCCTACCATTTCCTAAGGTTTGCCATTCTTATCTTCTTGGTTAAAATAATGATTTTCTTTCGAAGGGCAGGTGGTGCCGTTTGTGACTCTCACTTTTGGCAAAGCAACGAGGGGAAAAACAACCACACAGTCTGGAAGGAGAGGAGTCGGCCAGAGAGCGAGACTGGACCTCATTCCTCGGCATCTGGGCCACAGAGGGAGAAAATGAGGTGTTTCAGTCTCAAAACGGCCGTCATTCTGATCAACACCACCGCTGTCCTTATAAAGCTGTCCAGCCCTGAGCCAAGGCGGCAGCACCACTAGTGTCTGTGTTTTAGGGACAAGAAGACGGAAGGAGGCCCAGACTTGAGACGTCAGGCTTCTAAGCAGCAGGGCTGGGCACACAAGTTCCTTACCTGGGCATCTGGTTTGCAGTGCTCCCCCACTCCCCGGACATCCCGGCAGCTCTGGCAGGTAGAAGGCTGAGAAGTTGAGAGGGAAGGTTGAGTGGCCCCATTTTCCCCTTGGAGTGATCTCTCCAATTTCATCATCAGGGGAGAAACCTGGCTCTTAAGACTATGGAATTCTGGGGAAATAGCTCAGCAAAAAGTGGAGACTAGAGACAGCGGTGCTTGAAAATCCTGCTGGTTATCTGCATCCTGGCCTCCTGGGGATGGAAGAGGCAGCCCCCACCCCAGACATCCCCCCTCCTAGAGCTATCTCTCCAATTCCCATAGATGTCACCCTTCTCACTTACAGGAAGGTGGGGCAGTGAGGATCCCAGGGACATCATGTCCTAGCCATGGCACCTTTTTGGGAAAGTTAATTACACACCTGGAGCCTCAGTTTTCCCACCTGTAAAATGGGCTCAGGGCACCTAACTCACAGACTTTCTGGGAAGCATTTTTGCGCCTTCTCCTCTCCTAGCTTTTTTCCTCTTCTTTTGGTTCTTGGCATAAACAATCTCCACCTAGAAGCCTTCCAGCTCCCACCCTGCTCCAGACTACTGGGTCCTTGAGCCACTTCTCCCCTTGTAATTCCTGTCCTATGTCTGTTGCTTCCCTGAGGGTGGGGGCAGGGTCTGTCTCATTGATCCTGGGACCACCAGGGTCAGAGCCAGTGCCCAGCATGTAGTGGATGCTTCTGGCCATCTCTCGAGCTAGGAGGAGGAGGAGATAAGGACATCCAAATCATCCGAGCAATGGGCCACCCACCTGAGCACGACAGTCTCCAGCGCCCTAGGGGGCACCAAGCGGGCATGGGTGTGTTTCAGGGTTGGAGGAAGTCGATAACCTGAAATAGTGGTGCAGGGTTACAGCATGACATCACAGGTTTGGGGCTACTTACTCATTTTTTAGTTATTATTTTCTATAATTTTTTATTTTGGTATAAATTCAACAGACAGGTTGCAAGAATATAAGGGATTCCTGTGTACCCTTCACCCAAATTCACCATCACTGACACTTTCCCCTGTTCTTTCTCTCTCTCTCTGTTTTCATGTAAATACCATATATATGTAAGTTGCAGACATTAGCCCCCTTTCTCCCTAAACACTCTGGCGTGTATTTCCCAAGAACATGACTTTCTATCACCTAAATACAATAAAATGATCCGAATCAGGAAATTTAACATCTTACCAGAATATAATACAGGCGAACCTCCAAGATGCTGCTGGCTGGACTCCAGACCACTGCAATAAAGCAAATATTGCAACAAATCATACAAATGTTTTAGTTTCCTGCTGCTTATGAAAGTTATGTTTCCACTATGCTGTAGTCTGTTAAGCAGGCAATAACATTATGTCTTAAAACACAATGTACATGCCTCAATGTAAACATATTTCATTGTTTTAACATTCTAATCACCACCTGGGCTTTCAAAGCATCATCCTCTTTTTGCTGGTGGATGATCTTGCCTCAGAATTGATCTGCTGACTGATGAGGGTGGTGGCTGGGGCAATTTCTTAACATGAGACACCAGTGAGGTTGGCTGTAATGATTGACTTTGGTTAACAGTTTCTCTGGAGCATGCAGTGCTGCCTGATAGCATCTGGCCCAAAACAGAACTTCTCTCAAAATTGGAGTCAGTCGTCTCAAACCTGTTTTATCAACTAAGTTGAGGTCGTAGTCTAAACCCTTTGTTGTCATTTCAGCAGTCTTATCTTCACAGGAGTGGGTTCCATCTCACGAGACCACTTCCATGTCCGTCCATAAGGATCAGCTCCTCTTCCACTCAGGTTTGATCATGAAGTTGCAGCAATCAGCCATATCTTCAGGCCCCACTGCTCGTTCTCTTGCTGTTCCCGCCACATCTGCAGCTAATTCCTCCACTGTATTTTGAACCCCTCAAAGTTGTCCACGAGAGCTGTGTATTTTGATACTTGAGCCTCTTCCTAAGAATCATGAATGTTCTTAACGGCTGTTTCATTGTCTGCACTAAACATCTGCTATTCACTGCAGGACCGTCAAGCACGAACTGAGCTAGAGCTTTTGCATAGTGCACTGCTTCACTGGGCACATTTATGTTATAGAGACGGCTTCCTTCCTTCAACCTCATGAACCACTTCTGCAGCTTTCTCACCTCTCAGCCTTCGCAGAATTGGAGAGAGTAGGGGTCTTGCTCTGCATTAGGCTTTGGCTTCAGGCAATGTGGTTGGTCTGATCTTCCATCCAGACTGCTCAAACTTTCTCCGTATCAGCCGTAAGGCTGTTTCACTTTCTTATCATCCATGTATTCACTAGAGCAGCCATTTAATTTCCTTTAGGAACATTCCCTTTGCATTCACAACTTGGCTAACGGTCTGGTGTGAGAAGACTAGCTTTTGGCCTGCCTTGGCTTTCCACGTGACTTTCTCACTAAGCTTGTTTCCAGCTTTTGATTTAAAGTGAGAGACGTTTGACTCTTCCTTCCACTTGAACACTGAGAGATCACTTCAGGGTTATTAACTGGCCTAATTTCAATATTATGTCTCAGGAACAGGAGGCCCGAGGAGAGGGAGAGAAGGAGAACACCTGGTCATGGAGCAGTCAGAATACACACGATGTTTATGAATTAAATCTGCCTTCTAGTATGGGTGTGGTTTGTGGTGCCCAAAACAATTACAATAGTCACATCTAAGACCACTGATCACCATAACAAATATAATAATAATGAAAATGTTAGAAATACTCAGAGAATTACAAAATATGACACAGAAACAGGAAGCAAGAAAATGCTGTTGGGAAAAATGGCACGTGATAGACGCAGGGTGGGCCTCCCTGGTAGCTCAGCTGGTAGAGCATCTGCCTGCAATGCAGGAGATCCTGGTTTGATTCCTAAGTTGAGAAGATCCCCTGGAGAAGGGCAGGCTACACATGCCAGTATTCTTGGGCCTTCCTGGTAGCTCAGTCGGTAAAGAATCCGCCTGCAATGTGGGAGACCTGGGTTCAATCGCTGAGTTGGGAAGATCCCCTGGAGGAGGGCATGGCAACCCACTCCAGTATTCTTGCCTGGAGAATCCCATGGACAGAGGAGCCTAGCGGGCTACAGTCCACGGGGTCGCAAAGAGTCAGACACAACTGAGCGACTAAGGACAGCACACAGACGCAGGGTCACCACAAATCAGCAATTTGTAAAAAACAGAATATTCACACAGCGCGATAAAGTGAAGAGCAATAGACCAAGGCTGGCCTGTACTACTGCGGTCTCACAGTATTAATGCATTTTGTATACTCTAATATACCTCATTACTCCTACCTAACCCACAGCTCACTCTCAAGGCCATCTCAGCGACACCTCGAAGAAGGCTTTATTTCCTGGGTCCAGGACTCTCCAGAGACCAATCCCCTTCACTTTTCCCTCTATTTTAGCCAGAATCACTGAAGGAGGAAGGCAGGGTGAACATGGGGAAGGAGGCCGTGCAGAAACGAATCCTCTTCTCTGGGCTGAGGAAGCAGCCTGCGGCTCTGGCTTGCAGGTTTCCCCCAAAGGGAACTCAAATTCTTCCCTTTCCATCCATGCAGGCTCCAACGTCCTCCAACCACACGTCTTCACCTGATCTGAAGGAGCCCAGGGCTCCTGAAACTGGAGAAAGGGGCCAGGCTTACACGGACTTCTCCTGAACTAGTCTGGTCAGTTTCGCATTCATTCATTCACTCACTCATTCGTTTATCCACCTGTTCCTGGTATGATCACTTCTTGCTCGGTTATTTCTATAACAATTCACTTGTTATTGTGATGTTATCAGACACATTTACAGGGCTTTCTTTGCTATTATCCATCAGCCTTTATTAAATAGTCCAGTCCTTTACTAAAAATTGTTTTAAACATGTTACACACACTATCTCACTGACTCCTTGTGATCACTCTGAGAGATAGGAACTATTATTGTGTCTCTTGTACAGTTAAGGAAATGGAAGCACAGAGAGGTTAAGGAACTTGCCCAAAGTCACAAAGCTGGAAGAGACCCCACCAGGACTCTAACCTGGGGGCTTCTCATTCTTCAGTTAGACTCCCTTGTCTGATGATACAGATGGGGGGGGGGGCGGTGAGAGAGGCCTCCTTCTCCAGAGGATCTTCCCGACCCAGGGATCGAGCCTGGGTCTCCCACATTGTAGGCAGACGCCTCACCGTCTGAGGCACCAGGGAAGTCCTGATGGTCACACGGTTGGGGGATAGAGAGAAGCACAGGCACGTGTGAGGTGGGTCTCCCGCTGACGCTCAGAGAGGCTTCTGCAAGGCCAACTACACTCAGCAGGTGACGCGGAGCCGGGATCCCCCAGGCCCGGGGCTCTGGCGTCCGTCTGGCTGCTGTGTGTCCCAGCGCAGCAGCCAAGGCCACAGAGGGGCAGCCAGTTCTACAGGAAGGTCTGGCCAGAACCTGGTTCTGCCTCTTGTCAGCATGACTTTGGCCAAATGATTTAGGTCAGGCCTCAGTTTCTTCATCTGACAAGTGGGCCTGGTAATAGTTCTTAAGTGTTGGCGTTGTTGTGAAGACAACCCACAGCATCTTAGCCGGCTCAGCTCAACAAGGAGTGGCAAATGGGGCCCTTCATTTTGACACGGCACCATGTCTGTTACCTTCCTGAAGTGAGTTGGGGGAAGACTCGGGAAAGGAGGGAGGGCAGGGGGTGGCAGTATGGTTTGAATTAAGCTGTTTGTATGCACCCCAGTTCAGTGACAAATGGCTGTAGTGACGGAGGAGCATGGTTTCAATTTTCCATCTGGGAGCAGACGTCTCGTGGCTCTGCCAGCCTCGTCCGGAAGTGGGCAGGTCATCCCAGCAGCCTTGGGAGCCAGGGACGGTCGCTCTCCATCCGCATGCCCACTCCCAGCCAGACTGCACTGCAACCAGGCTGGTGGGGGAGGAAAACTGTCCTTGCCGACCCCACTTGGGCCTCTCTGGATCTTCTCACTATCCCTGGACAAAGTGCTGGGCCACACTGGGCCTGTTTCCTCATTGGTAAATGGGGTATTGTGGGGTTGTGGTGAGGAATAAACAGGGGATGCCCGTGAAGTGTAAGGAGTTTTCCAGCCACCCACTCCTATAAGGAAACTTGACCTTTCGACCTCAAGTCCTGCCCCACGTCTAGTAAACTTGGTAGAATAAAATCAGTCATTCAGGGAAAAGCATCCTGGTTTTCACTATTGTTTCAGGTTTAAATTGGTTCATTCAGAAGGCCCTGCTTCTCCTTGAGGTGGCATTTAATGGCCTTTAAAAATGGAATCAGAGCCCAGTCCTCCTTGGCTCAGGTCCCCCTCGCGTCCCGTTCCTCTAGAGTTCAATCCCAGTCCTTCCCACGGCCTCATGGCTGCCCTGACCCACCTTGGACTCCGGCCTCCCCTGCCCCTGCCCTCCCTCCCTCCGGCCTTGGTGCGGTCCCTCAGACCAGGCACTCTGACTCCCCAGCACCCTGGAGCTCGCTGCTGCCTCCTACTGGGACGCTCTGCCCCCCATCACCCATGTGGCTCCTCCCCTCTTTATGGCACCTTCCTGATCACTCAGGGTAGAACATCGGCAGCCCCTGCCTCAGTGCTCCCCACCCCCTTCACAGTTCGTCTTGATAGCACTTCTCACCAGCTGACATACAACGTGTGTAACTTAACGCCTGCCTTCCCTACATGAAAGCAAGCTCCATGTGGGAACAGACACATTTGTATCTGTTGTTTCTTCATCAGTGGTGTCTCCAGGACCCAGACAGTGCCTAGCACAGAGCAGGTGTTCAATTCTGAATGTCACATTGATGGAGGGATGGATGGACAGTGGATAGCCAGATGGTAGA